ATTCCTCATCTTTGAGAACTTGCCATTCCTACCCCAGTGCCTATTACCTATCTGTTCACTAAATATTTGTTAAATGGAAAATAACTGCAAGGCATGTTCTGAGCCTCCAAGTGTCTGTGAAATCCTTGAGAAAAATTTCATACCTTGTAGGAGACATAGGAGACATTATACAGGAAAGGAATAAGTAAGTTGCTCATTAGAACATGTCCTTGCTTTACGTCCTTGATCCATAAGAGGAAAAACATGACCTCTCATATCTCAAATATCTAGAAATTGACCTTTTAATAAATCATGGGCTACAGCATACTTTCCAGTACAAATTTACATTTTATTTTATTTTCAGGTTTCTTTGCCTAAAATGGTCATAGTTATTTTTAGCTTTGATTCTCATCATTGCATGTTCTCTTTGCTGGTTTAAAAAACCTTCAAAATTAGGAACCTGGGAACAAATCCTATGCTTGAGAGGTGGACTAAATATTAAGATAATAACCTTGAAGAGATAATGCAACAAAAGGTCTCCTCAATCTTTACTGAAAGGATTACATTTTTATAAATGTTGGGTCATAAAGTCATGTTACCAGTTTATGGGAGCAAAGATATTTCCATTTGACAGAAAAAATAAGAACTTAATGTTAAAATCTAGAGAGTTGCCATAGTATTTCTTAGAACTCAAAAAATGGGTGTAAAATTATCTTGTCTTCCTCTGTTTTTATTTTATTCTTGACCCAGGCAATCACTCTAACATTAATGTTAGTTCATTATAAGTGATTCATAGAAAGAGCTGTTTGACTAAAAGCAATAACATGTTTTAAATTTATTAAATCAGGATATGAAGGTTTAGCAAGTCTTAGAGTCAGATTTCAGATTATATCCTTGTCTTTTCTCTCCAATTCATAATGAATAGTGTATTTTGTAGTCAATCGCTGGCTGCCTTAGTCTGTTTGGACTATTAAAAATGACTGAGACTCAGTAATTTACAAACAACACAAATTTACTGCTCAGAATTCTGGAGGATGGGAAGTCCAAGATCAAGACACCAGCAGATTTCATGTTGGTAGGGGCACGTTCTATGTGAAATGGGCCTCCACTAGACACTATGTGTTCTTGCATGACAGATGGGACAAACAGTCTCCCTCAAACCTCTTTTATAAGGGCACTGAAGAACCCTCAAGACCCAATCACTTCCCAAAGGATGCACCTCTTAATATGGACACATTGGGAATTGGGTTCCAACATATGAATTTTAGAGGGACACATTTCAGATCAGAGCACTGGTGGAATAATTCACAACTTCCGGTAAAGCAATGTGCTTAACCAAAGAAGTTTCATGAACCAAATATGCCTGTCATTTACACAAATGAAGCCAATGATCTTCAGTATGATCAAAAAACAATTAGATAACTTAGATGAATCTTAAGAGGATTATGCTGAGTGAAAAAATAACACCAATCTCAAAAGGTTGCAAACTATATAATTTCATTTAAATGTCATTTTTGAAATAAGAAAATTATAGATATGGAAATCAGTGGTTGTCAGGGGTTAGGGACTGGGAAGGAGGTGCAGGGAGTGGGTGGGTGTGGCTCCAAAGGGTCAGCAAGAGGGAGGCATGTGATGGGTGAATGTGGAGTTTACATTAAGCTGCACAAGTGATAAAATTGCATAGAAATATACGTCCTCCCCCCCACACCAAAATTTGAATGAACTCTGGATTATATCAAGGTCAGTTTCCTTGCACTGATGTATACTACAGTTAGGCAAGGTGTTACCACTGGGGGAAGGGCTGGGTGAAGGGGCAATTGACTTTCCTATATATTATTTTGAAACTTTTTGTGAACCTTTAATTATTTCAAAATAAAAAGCTTAAAAATCAGACACTTCCTTGTCAGATGAGAGAAGGATCTGCAAACGAGGTAAGGAGATAACACAAGTGTATTAGTCTGTTCTCATGCTACTAATAAAGGTGTAACTGAGACTGGGTAATTTATAAAAGGAAAAGGTTTAATTGACTCACAGTTCTACATGGCTTGGGAGACTCAGGAAACTTACAATCATAGTGGAAGGGCACAGGGAAGCAAACATCCATTTTCATATGATGGCAGAAAGGGCAAATGCCAACAAAAGGGGGAAAAGCCCCTTATAAAACCACCAGATCTCAGGAGAATTCACTCACTATCATGAGAACAGCATGAGGGAACTGCCCCCATGATAAATCACCTCCCACCAGGTCCCTCCCATGACACATGGGGATTATGGGACCCACAATTCAAGATGCAATCTGGGTGGGGGTCACAGCCAAACCCTATCAACAAGTAAGTGAAGTGGCTAGCAGGAGGCAAGGTTAGTGCTGTGGCCAGTGTCAAGCATGCAGCTGCTTTTTAGCTCCTGCCATGTGAGACCTGTGCGCCTGGAATTGCCAGTCTTCTGAGTGCTGTTGTTTTATACAAAATGCTGGAAATCTAAATTTCTAATAAAATTCTGACTTTTAATATTGACAGCTATTATAATTCTAACTTTACTTTTCTTTTTTTAAACAGTCTCTCACTCTGTCATGATCTTGGCCCACTGCAACCTCTGCCTCCCAGGTTCAAGTGATTCTTCTGCCTTAGCCTCCTGAGCAGCTGGGACTACAGGTACATGCCACCACACCTGGCTAATATTTGTATTTTTAGTAGAGATGGAGTTTCACCATATGGACCGGGCTGGTATTGAACTCCTGACCTTGTGATCCACTTACCTCGGTCTCCCTTTTGAACACTATATTGGCCAAGCTAGAAAGCTAGATTTGTGTGCAATGGCCATTCATGTGCAAACTCAGCTTCCAGACAGAGGTTCAGTTTGGCTCCAAGATAAATCCACCCTCAACAACCTGGTAATCTCAGTGTGCAGCTCACACTGGTTTGTCATCTCTTAGAAAACAGGGAGAAATGGTCACTCTTGAGGTAGTAAGTGTTCTGATCAGGCCACTAAAGAAAATGTCTTAAATCACCAACCGTTGGCACCCAGAGATTCTGAAGAATGTCAGCATTCATTTGATTGCAGATCAGACTCACGCTGCTGTGACTGGAATCTCGTCTACTCTGACCAAGATCTTGACAACCACTTCCTCAGCATACTGCTTAAGGCATAGTAGGTGCTCAGTTTGTGTTGTTAGAAACATTCATTTGGTTTTCCCCAGCTATTTTAGTTCTTTTACTTTTTAGAGCTAAAAGAGATCTACAAAAACTGAGAACAGGAACTAGAATTGATACCTTATGCCACAGTTTTCCTGTGGCTGACACAATGGCCTGTGACTATACTTCATACATAGACGCCAGCAGTAACCCTATAATCTCTGTCTCTATTTGAAGCTTTGAATATAAACCTTTTATTCATTATCAGAAAATAAGCACACAAAGGGGTGCTAAGATTCTCATTCCGGTTTTGGTTCCTTAAAGTCTTTATCACCCCTGCCCTGTTAAATGCCCACAATCTAGACATTCCTTCCTCCTCAACCCCCGCCCTGGCCATCTGACTCAAAAGAAGGGAAAGGAGGACATAGCATGTTCTTCACAACTTGCAAAACAGCTCCAAACACACCATCTGTGAGTCAGTAACACCCTACTTCACTCCCGCACTGTCCCAAACAACACCTTGTGCACAAATCAGACGTCCATGTCCAGTCTCTAATAGCCTCAATTCCTTCATGAAGGGAGTGAGAAGAAAAACTCTAACCTTTCAGCTTTCAAAATTTCATCTATGGCCTAATTACATATTTGCAAAATCAAATTTACAATGATTAAGAGATTCATTTCCATTAATTCTATTCTCTTTCCCCAAAGTCATCTGCTAATAAGAGTCCAGAGAATGTTTTCTAATCCTCCTTTAAAAAAGAGACTATTTGTAGGTATTACATAAATATATATCAATAAGAGATCTTTTTTGTTTGCCATTTTTCACAAAGCTCTTTAATATGTAGACTTTTAAAAGGTTGGTTAGCCTTGAAAATTATGCTAATAGGGTAAGAGCAGTAATTCAAATTGTAGCCACTAATTTCTCTAAGGGAAAGTATGCGAAGACCCTGGGCTCTACGTCTGTTTTCAACTAATCATCATGTATTTACTTTTCTGTTAGTCCAATGATTTTTCTTTCAATTCAGAATTAAGCAATATGACACTAAATTATATAAAGGCCTGTTTAGCATAGCAGACACACCCCATCATTCCCTAGTACTCTGATTTACGTCTCTTAAAGTGCACAACCGAGAGGCTGTCTATATGCCCTTTTGTATTTACATTCCATCATGCAGTCACCTCAATAACTTATGCATTCTCAGAAGGTCTACCTAGCAATTAACTCCAGTCTTTTCTAACTCACCATCTCATTATGTAAAGTGGATTTGAACATAAACTTTATTAGCAACTTTCAATTCTAATTCCTTACCTCCCCCACCCCTACTCTGCTGAGCAATGTCAGTTTATACGTGACAAAAATGCTTTGGAAAATGGCAGTTTAAAAAATCCGCATTGGACTGGCAGCACATTTAGTAATTAGTCTTTGCACTATGGGGCACTATATTAAATCGAGATTGTCATATTTCGGCTGAAGCATGTGACCCAGTTCTTCATAGAAATGGAAATGAATTCCCCCTGCTTTACAACATAGCCTTTTGACCATGTTTAGGAGGAAAAGACAAGGAGGAAATCTATCATTTTTATTCAAAAGGTCAAAACCTAAAAACACCAAAACAAAAGCCAAACAAACGAACCCAAACTCCTTTGCTAAAAGCTAAAGGACTTCTTAGCATCTCTTCTTCAAACTTGAGAAAGATGAGGGCCAACCTGCAGAGCTTTCTCATGCATATGACGTGTATCAGCTGAATAGATGAAATAGGGTTTAATGTACATGTTCTCATGGTAAAGAACCAAGGGGGCTGATGAAGGTTCTCATAAAACTAAAGCAATGACAGCACCTGAAGACAAAATGTTCAATGTGTGACAGGGCGATGCCTGCAACCCACTTACCAACGTCGGGGTCCACGGCTTGAACTCTGGTTAACAGAGCCTTGGTGGCTGTGTTCTCATAGACGCAGGCATTGTAGTGGTCAGAAGAAAACACAGGGGGGTTATCATTCACATCTTCCAGGATTAGGTGGATGTTGGACTGGCAGAATCTGCCACCCCCGTCAGTGGCTTTGGCGATCAGGCTGTACACAGGGACCCTCTCCCGGTCCAACAGAGCCAAGGTTTTTAACTCGCCTGTGAAAATACATGGCAGCACGATTGGTCTGACTTTTTAAAAACTGTATTTCTTTGGAGAGCAGAGGACCAATTATATAAAGAATTCTCAACATAGGAAGGACTAATGGCATTTGGCTCAAGTATCCCATCCTTTAAAAATGTAGCAAATTCAACAATTTTAGGTATCGGGGGAAAATGTATGGGATTCTAGATGCAAAAACAAAACAGCTATATGACCTTTGAATTAATTAATCCTTTTTTGAAACCTCTAGTATAGAAGCCTCTTTATTTCAGCTACATGGAGAAGCCCCAAATCTTTTTAAACCACTTAACATCTACTCTGGAGATCAGTCTCTGGATTTTTGCTATATGCCCAGAAAACACATAGAGAATGGACTGGTATCTCTAGTTCTCTGATGGTCCATATTGTCAACAACCCTTAGACCCAGAAGGGCAGTCTCTTTGCCTCCAGATAGTCAACTTTTTACTTCATCATTTATAGGAAACCAGGTAATGAAAACAGAAGCTGGCTTTAGTGGGGAGCAGGGTCTTGAAGGACCCCTACTGTGCAAGGGTTAACCCTTAACTTGCAGGATTGTGGAATGGCCTGAGGTTGCCCGGGGAGGAGTCAAGTGGTAGAAAACTTGAGGAGCAGGGAAAAGCAGCTCCTTAGCATCCTGCACGGAGTACTAGTATGTCTGTATTTTAACAGCTGGAACAGCTGTATTGGTGCTGAATACCAGCTTTTGTGCAGATTTCTTTGTTGTTTAATTTTCGGAAGATAACGACAACAAACAGTGACAAACCTGAATAAATGTTATGTTATTTGGTGGACTTATGAAATATTATCACTCTTACATAAAATTAGTAGGTATTTGGATGAAGCTACCTACATTTATTAAGGCAGTTCCTCCTTTAGCTTCCCGGCTATGGCCAGCCAGTTCTCAGACACAGGTTGGATCATTTCCCTCTCCTACTCAAAAAGCATCCAGTGGCTTTTCATTGGGACATTCAAGACACTCCACAATCTGCTGGCCTAAAGTAGTTGTCCCTCCACTTTTGTATGTGGCATTACCTGGATCACTATGCTCTCTGCTCATGCTGTTCCTATAACTTGTAGTGTCCTGTTTAAGCCACTGAGAATCCTGGCTCAGTTCAAATGCTAGTTATTCCTTTAAGCAGTTTACTTTTTCCTCCTATCAGAATATTAGTTACATCTTCCTCTGTGCCCAGATATAGCTCTGCTTACATCTCTCCTGAACACTCATTTCATTGTACCTTTCATTATTATTATTATTGGTTTACGTGCCTTTCTTCCCTACTAGATTACAATATCCCTTGGGCATGATTTATTTTGTTTATCTTGGAGTCTACCACAAATATCCCATAAAGTGCTTTTATGTCTACTGGCTACTCAATAATATGTTACCTATTGAATAAATAATCACCAGGCCCATATAGCTGAGTAGTATATTCCCATACAGCTAAGTCAGTGCTTTTCTGTAGGGTGCAACTGACATGGGAGTGGGGCAGGGAGGAGCCACTACCTTTCTGGAGACTAAATAGTTATTATTCACTAGGACTAACACCACACTGGAAATATGCAAGCTAGCCAATCTTGACACTTAAATTAAAAAACTGTCATTGGATGGGTCATCCAATCCACAACACTAAAATAATTTGCCTCCATATAAAAGGCTTTTAAATTAGCTTTGGTCTTTAATGCCGGCATGTGCCTTTAGCTTATATAACCTTGTACCTTGTCAACTTTGCCTGAATACACAGTAAGAGAACCTGAGGGTTCATGCAATTGGAGAAACTAGGCAAGAAAGTTTAATAAAAACTAGACAATTGTGTTAATAAGAATCAGAAAGGGACACTAAAGACATTTCAAAATGAGAAAAACTCTCCTTCCTATGCATTACTGTCTGATTTTCATGGCAACCTGCATTTGTGATATAACTTCATTTTTACTTGTTGTAAGCATATACCTTAAAACTTACAGCTATGAGAAACAAGAGAAGCAAACAAAGATGTCTGCTTACTTGATGCTAATAAATGTAGGTAAAGTCTAGAGGAGTTTTAGAAAGAAAATAAAAAGTTTCCACGGTCCAGAGCACCCATATTTGGATATGCTCCTACAATTTCTTAGAGTCGAAGATATTGAGCATCATGTTCTTGGGATGCAGAGAATGATACCCCAAGGTATGGTGCTTTGGCCTGCTGAGCACTTTGAATTAAAAAAAAAAAAATTGGAAGGCCTTAAAGCTGCCTTAGAACCAAGAACTTTCAAACCTTCTCTTGTTCCCCTCATCTCTCCCGAGTGCAGGTGGGACTCTCTTTGAAATTTCTTCATCTGACTAAGAAAACTTCTTTCTAAAAGAAATGCATTTGCCTTAAGATCCCCCCTTCATAGAAATCTCATCAAATAACCAGGAAACATTGGCTACCAGAGAAGAGAAAAGAGACTAAAAGTCATCACCATGTCCAGAGAAACTTTTTATCTGTTCTTCTGAGGGCAGCTCTGAGAGATTAGCTAGGAGACTGTATCTGCATAACTAGACAACCTTTGTTCACAGTCAGCTCAGTCCCTTACCTTCCCCAAATTTGCCAGTTCCATTGAGTTTCATAAGAGAATTATTTACAAAATAATGGGTGACTTCCAGGTCCATCCATTTCCTTTAAAAATCATTGGCCATCCCTCTAAAATTGCCCACAGTCCCCCAACTTCTCTCTCACCTAGCAACAGCCTTACCCATGTGGTCCTTCTTTGAGTCTCTTATTTTGGGGGGTGAGGTACCCATGTGCATATAAGTACATCTGTATGCCTTTTCTCCTGTTAGATGTCTATTGTCAGTTCATTTCAGCAAACCTTCAGAAAGGATGGAAGAGAAATTTTCTCTCCATCCCTGCAAGAGGAAGTACACAACTATTTGCTAGTGATGAGACCACATGAGTTTTAACTTCTCTCATTGATTAACAATGACATTTACCCAGAGAATAAATTTCAGCTTACCAGTTTCTGGATCTAGAAAAAATTCACTGTTTCCAGATCCATAGAGTGTGTATCGTATATCTCCATTGGATCCAATATCGGCATCCTTTGCACTGACTTTCAGGATGATTTTATTTGATGGAATATCTTCAGGAAGTAATGCTGTATATGCAACCTTGATAAAGGTGAAGGAAGGTAATAAAATTATTAGTATTTGTAGGGACAATTACCATATTTAGCATTATATAGGATTTATTTATAAATTCATTTATATAATTTAGCTTATTTTTTCTTTCACTACAGAAACATATTACAATATATTATGAAACACAACATATCTGCTGATCTGCCGCTCCCATGCTCATTCATTTAACACATTTATTGAGCATCGACTATTTGTTAGGTACCATTCTAAGTGCTAAGAGAACCCCAGCAAAGAAAACAGAAGAACACGCCCAGTCTTGTGGAACCGTGACACACAACACATATTGACCATGTTTGTCTGTTTTTTTGTTGAGCCCCAGTGAGTCCTAGGAATTCTCTTCAACTCTTTAAAGAGACACTACCAGCATTTGGCATTAGTATGAGAGATTAAATCTATTTGCAATACTTTTTAACCTATAGGACATTAATATTGACTCTTGGTCCACATGATGGAGAAGAATAATGTGATTTAATTTCAGTATGAGACAAAATAAAATCTATTACTTGTACCTTGCATTGGCATTGTGTTTTGTATAGTAGTAGAAAGGCTACTTCATAAGGAGCCTGCGGACCAGCCTGCAGCACCAACATTTCCACTAACCAAATGTGTAAGCTTATATAAACAAGCTAACATCCTGGAGACTGGCCCATTTCTCTTTTATGTTATCAGTGATTCAAACAGAATAAGTCCTAAAGTCCTTTATGATTTGCTTAAAAAATTATTTAAGATACTTTTTTTGGATGGGGGGTGGCAGGGTACAAAATTAGGTGTCTGATCTTGATACCTATACTTTTTTCATGGTTTCAATATTTCTTCCTAAACTTCACCTCCTATCCTCTTATATTCAATGGCAGATAAGAGCAGAAGTTTGCCTGGCCTTAAGAAGAAAAGTGAAATGGGTTTTAATTTGGGAGAAGCAGAGTAAAAACAGAGTCCTATCCCCGCATCTCACCTGATCACACACTGGGCTATTGTCATTCACATCACTGACAGTCACTTCCACCATGGCCTGTGTGACAAACAGCCCATCAGTGGCAGTGATATTGAGAAAGTAAATGTCTTGTTCTTCTCTATCTAGAGGCCTCTTCACATAGACCTTCCACTCACTTTGCACCAGGCCCAGGGCAAACCTTCCTCGAGGATTTCCTCCTGCAGTTTAAAAAAAAAAAGAGCTTTTGAAGATGTGCAATGAAATCTCTTAATCTACACCTACCTTGAAAGGTGCATGGGGCGTCATCCAGGTACTCCTCAAGCTGTATCATTTATGATACTAAAAACATATTGATACTCCCTTTGATTCTTGAGCAACAAAGCATGGTATTTCTATGCTTGGCTTGTGTGAAAAGCAAAACAGCAACTTTCCAAGATAATAAAATCCACTTAGAGAAGCTGGAGATGATCTCTTGTTTAGCTCTCCTTAAGAACAATCAAATTCAAACTGTGAACAATCAATCGTCTTCTCAGGCTGACACAATTGTCTTTCCACTTCGTCTCAGGAGAGGATGTAACACACTCTAGCTCTTGTTACCAAGACAATTTCATTAGCCGTTGATTACGCAGTCAAGGAAAGGCAGTTAACTCTATTAAGGAATCTTTTAATGAAGGCTTTATCATACAGCTGTGCTCTTCTCATAAGAACTGGAGTTTGGGGGAGAAAAGTTCTCATGACAGAGGAAGGCCCATTAGTGTTAAATAGCCCTAACAAGGGGTCATTTAAAAAGCCGTTCAAAGATAAGCACTGCAATTAGACCAACTGTATCAAAGTGAAGCTGGGGAAAGTGGAAGAAAAAAAAAAAGACAGATGAAGTGGAACAGCTTTCTAAGATCCTGAAGCACTGACAGTGGTCCCAGCAATATGACTTTTCCACATCATTAAGCTACACGGGGGCAAAAGCGGCTTGGGGAACAAGATAGGAGGAAGAAGGAAGAAGATAAGCAACCTTGACATAATCCCTAAGAGGCGAAAAAAATGTCATTTCAGACACTGAGAAAGACTGAGCAAGAACACTGGCAAGAAGTCAGGAGTCAGGTTTGATGATTGCCATTGCATTTCTTTGTGCATTCAAGTACTTATCATCTACTCTGGGCCAGACACTGTTCTAGGCAGCAGGGCCACATCGGTGGACTAAACCAGCAGAAGTATCCGCTGTCTTGGCAGAACTCACATTCTGGAGGGAAAGACTGAAAATAAATAAGGAATGTATACTCCATGCCGACTGCTATTTCAAAGAAAAACATGGAGCCATATCCCCTACTTACAATGAAACTTTAAAAAGCAGAGGGCAGGCCGGGCGCGGTGGCTCACGCCTGTAATCCCAGCACTTTGGGAGGCCGAGGCGGGTGGATCACGAGGTCAAGAGATCGAGACCATCCTGGTCAACATGGTGAAACCCCGTCTCTACTAAAAATGCAAAAAATCAGCTGGGCATGGTGGCACATGCCTGTAATCCCAGCTACTCAGGAGGCTGAGGCAGGAGAATTGCCTGAACCCAGGAGGCGGAGGTTGCGGTGAGCCGAGATCGCGCCATTGCACTCCAGCCTGGGTAACAAGCGCGAAACTCCGTCTCAAAAAAAAAAAAAAAAAAAAAAAAAAAAAAAAAAAAAAAGCAGAGGGCAAATATCGGGGCCCCACTGAAGAGACTGAGTGGGAAAAAGTGGGACTTTGAGTGCCAGATTACATTCTTGCTTATAAGGCAAGGGGCTGCTCAGTCGGAGGGCCTCAGCACTGGGCGTGGGGGCAAGCCACAGTGGAATACAATGAAACCCAATCAGCCAGACAGTGTGGAAAAGGTGAGAGCTGCATTTTCCTCTGGGGCAGTGGTTCTTAACTGGGGATGACTGTGCCCTTCCCCTCTGTGGGGATATTTGTCAATGTCTGGACACATTTTTGCTCGTCACATTGGTGGGAGGGAAGTGATGGTGGTGGTATGTGCTACTGGCACAAAGTGGGTAGAGGCCAGGGATGCTGCCAAATATCCTACAGTGCATAGGACAGCCTCCCAGAGCAAAGAATTATCTGGCCCCAAACGTCAATAGCGCTGTGGCTGAGCAACCCTGCTCTAGGGAGCTTCAGGGTCCTCCCCGGGATATCACTTTCCTCCGCCACTGGCCAGGATTCAATTATGCTTTAGTTGAATATTATTTCAGCACACACAAATTTAACCTCTCTATTAAATGCTTTCAGTGCGGGCCCACACTGTTCTTTTGTTACATAAAATGATTAATGGTCCTTTGTTAATCGCAGGCAGCACAGCCAAGTTGTGTTACATCAAGAGCAAAAGTTAAATCTAATTAAAATCAGTTGGTGGTTGGCACTGCTAATAGTAACAGTAGCTTTAAGCTACTCCGTACTCATTACTCTGGTAAAGTCGATGGGATAGTCCCTTTAAATCATCCACTGGCAATTCAAAGGCTATCTATAAATAATTAAGGCTGAGTATTTTACAATTTTTCCAAACAGAAAAGGACCCTTCAGAATGCCTAAGAAGCTTTTTTTTTTCTGAAAGTAAATGCAAATGAGTCAAAGTGATGCTTCACACACCTCTTTCCTCACCACTATCTTCCATGTTTTAACTACAGAAATACATATTTTAATGAAAGACAGAAGGTCTCAGATAAATCATAAAATGTATAAACTCTTTCAAGGGGAAAACACCATCAAGAGAACAGTCTCGTAAGTAAAAGGAAGAGAATCACGGCGAAAATGTGGCAATCCCAAACATTGACACATTTGCTTTATTGTGGATCTTATTCTGCAGTGATTAATTAACTTTCCCACCAACATACTTAAGCAGATTCTGTGTCCTAAGGGGATTCTAATTAATTCATTTTTCACTCTGAATAATGTAGTTTTTCTAAAGGGAAGCCACCTGACTACAAGTATTGATGGATTCTTTATAATCTTTTGGTACTTTATGTTCTGCCATTGAATGGGACAACATCAAAATATTAGCTTTAAAACCCCCAAATAGTTTTTAGAAAGAATATCCCCATACAACCAAACGTCTTTCAGTTAAAGGCCAGCTGACCCCCTGGAAAACTACACTGGCAGGAAACCCTTAGCCTCTCAGAGCAACAGTGACATTTTCTGTGCCTTCCTAGTGACTGACTTTGTCTGTCTTGGCTTTCCCCTTAAGCTGCTACTTACTATTTTGAAAGACAGAAAAGAAATCCAAAAACATTTGGTTGTCAGAAGAAATAGCACTTGATTTGTAGTTACAATTTAGGATTTCTCCAGGAAAGATCAAACCATGCCATCTAATGTGTGTACGCGTGTGCACATGTGTTGCTATGACCGGCAGACATGTACCCATGAAACTCACTGCGATCAAGCTATTTGTTTTGCTCAGTGTTGCAAAAGGTAGGAAAAAAAGAATATGCTTAAAAACGTACCTCCCCACCATAAAGTTGTTATTTTCATTCCTTCCACTGAGATATTTGGCAGGACACCTTTTTAAATAGGAAGAGGTGACACAAAGACTAGTTACCAGTATGGGTAACACATTTACGACAAATCTGTGAACTCCGAACTATGGCTGAGTTAGCAACAGTCAACAAGCAAAAAAACCCAGTCTACTCAGAGATCTTTTACCCAGCTCCAGAGAGGCTTCATTACGCTCAACTCCCCATCCCATCTTCCTTCTCTCTTACTCTTCTGCTGCCATCTTCCATCTTTCTTTATAATGCAGAGCATATAATGAAAACTGGGGGTGTTTACTCACCTGTAATATGGTAGCTCACTTGGCGATTAACGTCGGACGTGTCTCTGTCCCAGGTGCTGAGGACAGCTACCACCTCACCCGGTGGGTCGCTCTCCTTCACATTCCCTCGGTACACTTCCTGTGCAAAGACTGGTGCGTTGTCATTTATATCTGTCACCCTGACAGAGACCAAGGCCGTGGAGGAAAGAGAGAATGCCTCTCCAAGGTCAGAGGCCACCACCGAGAAGGTGAATGTGGGGTCTGTCTCGTGATCTAGGTCCTTCAAGGTACTGATCCAGCCTGTGTTGCTGTCAATATTGAATGCTTCCATTACCTTTTCGGGCTGGGAATCTGAGTGGAGGGAGTAAGTGACCTGCCCATTGGCTCCCCAATCCATATCAATAGCTCTCACCTGTGTGAGTTTGGTGCCAACAGGCATCCCTTCCATTATAATGGTGTCGTAGCTTGAAGTTTCAAAGACTGGCTTGTTGTCATTCAAATCCAATACCTTGATATCTACATCCACAGTAAACACAATGTCTACTTTGTCCAGGGGAATCGTCGCTGCTACTTTAAAGTGGAAAGCTGGGCTGGTTTCATGGTCAAGGCGCTTGTCAAGCTTAATAGTACCTGTTTCCTGCTCTATGATGAATACACCCCCTTTGTTATTTTCTGGCCGTTCCCCATTAACTGTGCTGAACTGGACATTCTGACTGGGCAAAATCCTCAGGATGTCCACTGTGCTCCCAATGGCTGTATCTTCTGCAATGGTAAAGGAATACTGAGACTGGGTGAATGATGGCAAGAATGTTTCAGAGGGCAAGACGTGGATATAGACAGGAATGAGGGAGTGCTTCACTGGGATGCCCCCGTCTACTGCTTTGACAAAGAACGAAAGCACTGTATTTTTCAGCTGGTTAAAATTACCCTTTGTGACCATCCAGCCATTGTCAGGATCGATTTCCAGGAGGTCAGCCACTGAAACTGAGGCCTCGCTATAGAGGGAATAAGTAATCCTTGAATTTGCTCCATCATCAGGATCTATGGCTTGAACTTGAGTGACCAAGTGGCCCCTTCCCACATCTGCCCTGACACTGGCTCTATATTCCACTGTCATGAACTGGGGAGCATTGTCATTTTCATCCACAACAATCACTCTCACAGTGCAGAAAGTTGTTCTCCCTCCACCATCCAGGGCCCTCACAAAAATACTAATGTCCCCTTCTAGAGGGTTTTCCCGGTCTAGCCTTTCCGTGGTGATGACCTGCCCATTGCTGTCTATGAGGAATCTATCTTTGGCAAAGTCATTGATGATGGCATAGCTGATCTGCCCGTAAGTCCCTGGATCACCATCTGTGGCTCGAACATGAACTACCTTTGCTCCAGCAGCTGCGTTCTCTCTCACCTCAGCCACGTATGTGCTTTGTGAAAAGGCAGGGCTGTACAAGTTAGCCCCAAGTACCCTAATATGCACCTGTGCAGTGCTGGTGAACAACCCATCAGAGACAGACACATTGAGACTGTACAGAGGCTCCATCCGCTGCTTCCGGTGGTTGGACAGTGTGATAACTCCATTCTTGCTGTCCATCAGAAAGCTCGTCCGGTCATTCCCAGATAAAATGCTGTATTCCAACCGGTCAAAGTCAGAACTGTCTGCATCAGAGGCTTGTACACAGGTTACAAAATGGCCCCGGGGGGCTAATTCACTCACATATGACTCGTAAATGAGCTGATTAAAAACTGGAGGGTTGTCATTTACATCAGAGATATAGATATGAACCAGAACCTCACTGCTCAGTGATGGGAAGCCACTATCCGTTGATCTGACTTTCAAAGTGCAGTGTTGTACTAATTCGTGGTCCAGCATCCGTGCTGTCAGGATTAAGCCACTTGAGCTATCTATGTGAAAATAATCTGTGCTGTTGTAGGTATCCTGGACAATCTGATAATGTACAATTTTATTGTTTTCTGAGTCTGCATCAGTAGAGACAACTTGTAAAACAGGTGTCCCAATGAGAGATGCTTCTGACAGTGTTGTATTGTATGTGGGCTGATCGAAAATAGGGGGGTTGTCATTTACATCATTAACTAGCAAGTCAACAGTGACTTCAGCCCTAGCACCAGTAAGGGCATCGCTGGCTCTTACTGTCAGCTTGTAAACAGATGTAACTTCATAATCCAAAGGGCTAATGACTTTCAGGACCCCAGTGTCAAAGTCAATGTTAAACTGTTTAAAAGGGTCCCCATCGATAATGATATATATGATACCTTGGCCCTCTGGACTGGTGGCATTGATGCTTAGAATGGGTGTGTTCATTCTAATGTCTTCATTGACAGACGCTGTATAAAAGGGCTTATCAAACACAGGCATTGCTTTGTTGACAATAGTGATGGGAAGCTCCACAGATGTAGACAAAGAAGGTTTTCCACCATCCTTGGCTAGGATGGTGACTCCATACTCAATGTTGGACAAGTCAGAGTTGAATGCTTCCTTTAAAATAACATTCCCTGAATTAGGATTAATTTCAAAGTGACCATAGTCATCCTGGAGGACATAGGTCACTTCTCCATTTGCACCTTTATCTTTGTCAATGGCTGTCACCTGGTAAATCAGAGTCCCTGGTTCGGCATCCACTTGAACAGCAGCATAGTAAGGGAGGCCCAGAAAGACTGGAGAATTGTCATTTATGTCTTCAATGTTAACCCTGACCACCACTCGGGCCACACGCAGATGGTCCAGCTCACGGCTGGCTTCCACCACCAGCTCATATAACTCTTGTTCTTCACGGTCAAAGGGGACTCCAGTCGTCTGAATGACCCCTGAGGTAGATTTTATCTTGAACTTATTTCCTGGGTTTAAGATGCTGTATTTTAAGGGCTCATTAAGGCGGTTTCCAACAGCATTGACGATAGCGACTTTGGTTATGTTAGTATTGTTCTCTGAGATTGAGGTGGAATAGAAGCTTTGTGTAAAGTGGAGGCCGCTGTCCATGGCTTCTTTAACCATGATGTTGACCATGGATGTACTGTAGAACTTTCCATCGGACACTTTAGCTATCAGCATGTAGTGATCCTTGGAGAGGTTGTTGTTTTTTATGGTAAGCACTCCACTATTTGAGTCAATTAAAAAATGATCCAAGCTGCCTTCCATTAGGCTGTATGTCAGTTCAGGGGGTACCTCAGAGTCAGGATCTGTGGCACTAACTTTCAGAACCTCCACTCCAACATAGGTCGGTAGAAGTAAGATAGTCTCAAACACAGCCTGAGTAAAAACAGGTGGGTTATCATTCACATCTGTCACCTCAATGTTGACTTCAACTGGACTCTCTGCAGTCAGTTGGGGGCTACCACTGTCTCTTACATGCACGTGAAAATGGAAATGGGCAATGGTTTCATGGTCTAGGTTGGCAATTGTTCTGATTGCACCTGTACTAGAGTCCACAGTGAAAAACTTTTTGGCTGTCGACTCCACAATCTGATACACAAGGAGAGCATTCCGGTTGCTGTCAGCATCCGTGGCTCGAATCACCAGTGGGCTGTTATCCAAGCTCCTGACAATGCTGTTAATTGGGGCAGCCTCACTTAGGCTGCCTGAGTATTGAGAAAAGAGAAAAACTGGGGCATTATCATTTTCATCAACAATCTGAATATTGACTGTTGCATTGGAAGCCATTCCTGCCATATTGGTGGCCTGAATGATGAGCTGATAAGAGGACGTGCGCTCATAATCCAGGGCCTTCCTAGTAGTGATGACTCCAGAATATGGATTTATGGTAAAGATCCCATTAATGTCTCCATCTTTGACTTCATAAACGAGGGTAGACTGACTGATGGCAGAGATTAGAATGACTGATGTTCCAATGTCAACATTTTCATTTACTTCCGCTTGGTAGTCTTTGTGAGTGAACTTGGGGTGAGAATTATCAGACATGGTAACAGAAATGCGCACTATTGCAGTGGCAGACATTGGCGGGGATCCCTGATCTGTGACTTTGATGGATAGAACAAACTGACCCATCGTCGTCATGTCTGGTTCTTTGCAAATGGTGATGATGCCTAGGACTGGTTCAATCTTAAACGTGTTCCCAGTGTTTCCTAAAACACAGAAATCAATAGTGAAATGAGTTACAAGTGGGTCACTAAAATCTTTTTGATTAACTCTTTATCAACAGGTACCTTACTGCAATGTCACAAGTGGAAAGCAATTATAGTACTCATCTGTGTCATTCTGAAATGAAATGAGAGGCCCCTCTTTCAGGGGTACTGAAAAGCAACCAAAATGAGATTTCCAGTAATACGGTAAATTTCAGACCAGTAGCTTCTAGATCCAGGTTAAAAACAACAATGACAATAACACAGTATTGTGTGCATTCAAGTTGGGAAATAAGAGAGCCTGAAGAAGAGAACTTTCTGCCAAGAATGTGTAGGCCTTCCTTATTTCCAGCCTTGTGAGAAGACAAATAGATTGAGAAGCCCACATATGAATGCCACAGTGTCCTATTTTTTGTTCTAGGTTTAAAAAAGAGGGTTATGGGAATAGTTTCAGAACCTTGTAAAGTAGTCAGTTGGATTCAGATTATCCCAAAAGCAAACTTTGCTATGTGGAATTGGCATTATTTTCACCCTATCAAAAATGACTTTATCCAAAACACTACTTTGGTGAAGTCATTTGTTCAGACAGGGAGAATTCTTGTCAAGTCACTATTTGCCTTGTAAGTGTGAGCAATTTTCCTGACTCCTCTTCTATTCTCCACTCATGCTCTATCCCTCTCCTGTGCCTCTGAACACACACATGCACACACGTAGACAAAAATGTCAACATAAAAAGTTATAGGGCAGTTGCTCAACCTGTAACCATTCTGTTCACTAAACATTTGAGAATGTTTCTAGTGCAGTAAGAAACTGTTGGGAATCTGAGCCAGCACTGCAACCAAGAACCTAAGACATAATCCTTGTGAAACCGAAACCAGGGCACCCCACTTTGACATAGCTGGCCGGAGAAGGGCTATGACCACGACACTGTAGCCGTTTAGAGCTCTGCTTCAGAAATGTGGTGGTTTGAAATCTGGGATCATTGAGAATGAGAGAAGTAACAGCAATGAAGAATGGGGAAGACAATGTGGAGTATGTAAGGATGGTAGGTGGTGACAGAGCTGAAAGGCAGTGAGTAGTGTGAAGCTACATCCTTCACCAAGTTACTTTTTGCTTCTCTTATCAGGCTTTCTCATACTTCTCCAAGAACACCCATGCTTCTGTGTTGAGATTCTTTTTAATCAAAAGTTAAAGCTCTTGGTTATTCAACTCTATCTGGACTTTTCTTTCTTTCTGAGTATTGTAGTATGATAAACATATAATTTAAATGTCAAAATCATTAAAATAGGGACCAGGATTTTCATAGTAGTTATAAGATGTGTCTACGTACTTCTTCCTATATGCTAATTATATAAAGTTTTCCATGTCTGAACACAAAAAGGTCACGTTCACGTAACAGCTATTTCAAGAATACACTTGCTTATTCTAATAGACAAAGTATATCTAATAAAGAGGTCATTTTGATTCCAGCCCCCATGTGTGAATATTAAACAATGTTTTTGATGTCAGCATGATTTATTACTTTGCCACCTAAACATGGCCACTTTGTGATGACAACAATACAAAGTTCGATGATCTTATGAGTAAACTTTCAAACTTGCAATGAATAGTGTCACAGATTTGAGTGTGAGTGCAAGAGGTGATTCACAGACCTTTGGAAGGGTAAATCACTTGACCTAAGCAATGGTCACCTTCCAGCGATGGCACCAACATGCAACCCTGACTGATGAATGCTACTGGAGCCAGGGCTCTTGGTGTTCATTGATTATGGTGCCCCTCTGCAGAGTTCCTAGGTAAGTCCTCCCTCACTCCAGATCCAGCACATTTCTTCATACCCAGCAAGATATATTATGGTGGGGATGATGGGGAGCCAGCTTTTGACCATAAATATAATTTTTTTTTTGAGATAGGGTCTTGCTCTGTCATCCAGGCTGCAATGCAGTGGTTGATATGGGCTATGGGCTTACTGCAACCTCTGTCTTGCCTCAGCCTCCAGAGTACCTAGGACTACAGGCATGTACCACTGTGCCCAGATAATTTTTGTGTTTGTAGAGATGGGGTTTTGCCATGTTGACCAGGCTGGTCTCAAACTCCTGACCTCAAGTGATCCACCTGCGTTGGCCTCCCAAGGTGCTGGGATTACAAGTGTGAGTCACTGTGCCTGGTCTCAAGTAGAAATTCATAACCCTGCTGTCTCATGGCTGGCTGATCTGCTTGTGACACCCTTCCAGAATGGTGTGCTGACACATCAGGTCCAAAGTTGGCCATCTTCTTCTTTCCCTCTTTGACACACCACCCATTCTCTTGGAATCCACTTTCTGCTTATTGTTTCCTGCTATATTTGAATCCTAAAAAATTGACCTCTGCTTGTTTTTTAGAATCTATAGCCTCTTGTAGATATTTGGCAATTGAATAAAAACTGTGCTTTTCCTATCATTTCTTATCTAGTCCACAACACAATAATAATAAAATTCTATTATTATTGAATTTATTATTATTGAAATTATTGAAGTTGCTCAATAATTAATTGTTGAATGATTGAGAGGAGAGATAAACCTAAAAAAAAATCTTAGGCTGAGTGTGGTGGTTCACACTTGTAATCCCAGCACTTTGGGAGGCCAAGATGGGCGGATCACGAGGTCAGGAGATCGAAGTCATCCTGGCCAACAAGGTGAAACCCCATCTCTAATAAAAATATTAAAAAACTAGCTGGGTGTGGTGATGCATGCCTGTAGTCCCAGCTACTCGGGAGGCTGAGGCAGGAGAATTGCTTGAACCCAGGAGGTGGAGATTACAGTGAGCCAAGATCACACCACTGCACTACAGCCTGGGCAACAGTGCAAGACTCTGTTTCAAAAAAAAAAAAAATACACACACACACACGTATCTTAAACTCTCTATTTGTATGCACCTTGGGATCCATATGGCCCCACCTGAACTCAACTCAGTCCCCGTCTCTCTTGTACAATCCTGCCTCAAACCCACCATTGACACCAAACACAAAACTCAAAGTAGATATAAGACCTGAAGCTCTGCACTTAAATTCTGCCTCAGTCCTTGAGGCCAAAATGAAAAGCTTCCATAGTTACTTGAGAGTACAGAGAGGAGATGGAAAATTTATAGCCCACTAATAAACAGAGTGAAATCTTGCTTATCTGATATGTGTGAGAAAAGTTAAATAAAACGTAATACTTTACACAACCATTTGTCATTTGCTTCCAAGTGTTGAAGCATCTGGGATCTGCCTCTCTTCTATCCTCAACTGGGAAGAAACCTGCTCCACCAGGACCAGTGCAGTCCAGTGTGGGTTTGTCTGTCTGTCTGTGAAGAGACTCACTGGCCCTTTAAGATTTGTTGTGAACACTGCAGTCCTTACTAGCTTCTTACATACAATCAAAGGTGATTTTTGTTTTGAGATATCAATTATTCCCATGGTTTTCTGGAAGTTCAGGTTTTCTGTATAAAAGATGTTTGAAGGAAGTAACTGTTCTGTCTTGTTTTAGTCCGTTAAAGAAATGACTGGGCACCATGGTGTAGTCTGTAGAGGTCAAAAGATAAGCAGAGCAGTCTTTTTGGCTGGATGGCAGATTAAACTGCTACTTAAAAGAATCCAAACTGGTTGAAACATTATCAGACTATCTAAAAGGAATATAAGTAGTAGGCTTAATGGCAAATGTAAAAAGCAGGTAGAGATATACAGCAAATGTTTAGAACATGGTAAGAAAAGTAGAAATAAAACCTTGTATCTAAATGATTGCAGTGACCTGAAACAAGGTATATGCATGAATGAATATGGGGAAAAGAAAAAAACACAACATTGGAAAAAAGAATAAAAGAATAAAAAGAGTTGTTGGGTTAGGTGACATTTTCTGAGATGTGATTTAAATATTCATTTTCTAGAAAAGTTTCCTTATATTACTTGTGGAACCCAAAGAACAAAGATTATATAATTAAGTAATAAAAAAAGTCCTGTGATAAAAGATGTAAAATAGCATTTCTAAGAAAATACTGGTCAGGCTTTAGATTGAAAGGAAATTCCATGGAAACCTAGAAAAAAAAAATAGGTAAACTCTGGGAACTTAGCTATTACGAAACTCACATCTTTTCTTTTTCTTTTTCTTTTTTTAAATAGAGCTTAGCACAGAACCATGTAAAATGTGGGTCCCTAATACAAGAAATGGGTTTAGGTTATCCTTCAATGCAAGAATGATTTTTTAAAGAAGGTTGTTGGCTTTCCTTTTTCTAAAATTTCTAGTCCACAACTGTCATTCTAGCATTCATATTTTAATTCAACCTCTCTCAAAAATGTTCTATATTTAAATGAAGGGAGAGAAGTCTTTCCATCTCTGGCATGAAAGGAGATTGAATTTGGCATTATTCATGACAGACATAATGTTGCAGAACGCTTTGGAAATTAGTGGCTTGAATATTCAAAAAAGTTGGAATGGGAAAGAAAGAATGGAGCAGATTAAGGATATCTGTCATTTTTCAGGCTATCTCTTACTTAGCCATTCATCTCTCTGTCATTAAAGCTTTTCAGCTATCAGTCTTCAACCGTCAGTAAACTATGGTCTTGCCTTATAGATGTTAAAATGAATTTTAAAACATCTCAAATTTAACAAAACAAGAACCTGTATCTATTTATGTCTCAGGTTCAGCAAGCAGTTCAGACTCCGTATCTACCACCCGCTCTGCTACCCAGGTTGCCTCCAATGACGTGAATTTGTGCTAACTGTGAGGGTGAAGGAATTTCTGAAGCCCACAGACCACCTATTGATAAGCAAACAAAGACTTGTTAAGATTCAATTCACAGGACACCCTGGCGGCCCTCAAATGATGGGAGACTTGGGTGATGTTAGTCTGAGGCCCTGGCTTGTTGGCCCACGGGTAAAAGCTACTAAATTTATTACATATTTCTTTTATCCTCTCTAGTCCAGAAAAATCCAAGATTGAACACAACAAAGGAAACTTTCCTTGCTGTTAATGATGGAAAACCTATTACTGAAATGTCAAGAACTTAATCCACCATCATCACCCAAATAGGGCAGCGGCTTGGCCAAAGAAGTTCATTTAGAGATGTTCCATTGTCAATGATCTGAATTTTACAGTGATAAACACTACCGAGGGTCGAATGCCATGCATTATGCTGAAATCTGTGCAGTGCAACAGCTCTCACCTGCTTCTATGGTATATATGAGTTCTGCATTTTCCCCTTTGTCTTTGTCCAGAGCCGTCACTTGTAGAACAGCTGATCCCAGAGCAGCAGATTCAAACACAGATGCTTCATACAGTGGGTTGGTAAAATAAGGACTGTGATCATTAGCATCCTCCACATTCACAATGACTCGGGCCAAGTTTCTTCGATAAGGAAACTCCTGATCTCTGACCTTTAGGCAAAATATAAGAAGTGGTGGGACTCAAATCTTAAATTTCAAGCAACTCACATGGCTTTGTCTGGGATGAAAACAAAATGAAATAAAGCACTCAGTGCTTGACCCAGTTCCAGGCATCTAGTAGGTGCTCAATAAATGGTGGTATCATCAAGTGAGGAAACACTGTGACCAATTTGAGAGCAGGGGTTACAACATCTTTATTGCTCAGCCTAATGTCTGACCTGTGGTCTGTGCTGTCTGTGTGTGTGGAACTGATGCTGTGATATCACAAACACAGTGCTGTGCTCGGGCTGTCCCCATACAGTGACCTCCCCTTGTTATTTGTGTACACAGATGGTAATGGGATAGTGGACAGAGGCTCTTCCACAGGGGCAATTACAGACTGGAATTAATGAACACAACCTAGGCATTTCCTTTCATCCATTCAACAGACATTTATCGTCACCTATCTGTTAAAGTCCCTGGCTTTGCTCTGGTGGTTCAGCAGTGAATTTGATACAGTTCCTGCCCTCAAGAAGCTTAGAGTCAAGTGGGAATACAAACAAGTAAATGGATGGGTATAATGCTCAGGGCTAAGTATTCTCATGGGATGCTCTAGAGGTGCTCGCAGAATAGAAAGAAGAAACTAACCTAGATTTTCCCTTCCTAGAAAAGGTAACAAGAACAAGTAGGAATGGTAAAATGGTGGTGGTAGTGGTGGGTGTCACTTTCAGGCAAAAAAGCCAATATGTACAAAGGCCTAGAGCTAAGAGAACCCTGACCACCAGGAAGATGAATCAAATCTTAATTTCTCACTTGGAGAAACATTAAATAAAATGTCACACTTTACACAACCATTTGTCATTTGCTTCAAAGTGCTGAAGCATCCCCTTTCTGATTTCACCAAAAAACCATGCTTGGCAGTTTTAAAGTTTCTCCTAGTTTGCATATGGCAGAAGCTTGCAAAGAATCATTTCTTTAACCACAAAGTTTTGCTATGATTTGATGTAGCACTAATCAAATATGTGCTCTTGGCTTTTTAAATTTTAAACTCCATACCTGCAGAGAGATGTGAAGAAATTAGAAAATATACCGAGAAGAGCCAATAAACATAAAGAGGTTTTCAAAAACAGTACTTAGGAGGAAGGAGCAACATGACTAAAATGGCTTAGACAGGAGAAAGGCAGTATAAAGCAGTTGTTTGCTCTAAATGTTCAATTATATAAGTGATAAGTGGTAGAGGGTGACCAAACTGAATTCTGAGTTTGTTAAAGAAAGAATGAACAGAAATAACTTAAAGAATCATGAGAATGGAGTTAGTCACTGGCACAAGGTCTCTGCCCTTGGAGAAAACACATGCAGAATTAACCCAGTGAAAATCCTCAATTTCCCTGTCTGCAGACTGGTCTGCCATATCCAAGGACCAACCTAAACTCCTTATTTGGGGATTGTTGAAATGTAGGTTAGTTCGAACTAAATGTAAGCTCCTAGGGAACAGGAACTTTGTCTTTTTTGTATCCTCAGTGCTTAGCAGAGTGCTTGGTGCACAGTGAGTGCTTGGTGCACAGTAAGTGCTTGAGAAATGTATGTTAAATGAATGAATGAAGGGCCAGAGAGATGACTGCAAGACTTCTGTAAGTGACCCCTTCTGTTTCCTGGAGTCTTAGCAGGAAATCATAGCTAAGTGCATGACACTCAAGTTTCTACTTGTCCAGGAATGTTTCTAATCTTATGAAAGAAAAGTAGCACTTAGTGGAACATTACTTTCAGCTGCTTAGGAATTTGTAGTGTCTCAGTGTAGTATTTAAAAGCCAATCAGTGCAGAAGATTAAGTCGATCCTTCTACTTGGTCTTAAAGAAACACAGTAGGGGCTCTGACAGGAAGTGGCTGTGCAATGCCCTGGGGATTCTTGGGTGAAGGGACAGACTTCAGGCCATAAATTAATCAACGATGTTTCTTATTAATCTCTACTTCCCAATTATGTGGCCAGGCAAATACCACTTTAAAAGTAAAGCAATTTCTCCTATATAATTTGGAGGCCCCATGAACACAAACTCAGATTTATACTCTGCAGACTTTAGCATGTATTGAGATCTCTTTTGTGTGCCAGTATTTACTAGTACGTCCAATGCCAGTCCAGTAAGTAATAAATTGTTTTTCTAAATCCTTCCAAGGACTGAGCATTGCATAGGTTGAGAAAATGATTACCCTTGTGATTAACTTCTCAAGGAACGTCTTTTCAATTTTTCTATGAAATCTTCTGGGTGCACACCAACCCCAGAGCCTGGGAATGTGACTTGTTCCTTCCCTCTTGAGTCAGTCTGTTTGGAGCATTTATTGAGTAGCCACTGCTGCAGAACTTATCTAATATTTTAGTTTGGCAAAAATAGAGAGTTGCTATCTAACAACAGTAGTTCTTCATTGAAATAAAAAGGCAAAAATGAATGCAATCTGTCTGTGAAAAGACCAAATTTACAACTACTTATAAAATTTAGGAGCCCTATACTTCTGAAGGCTAACACGTGCATGTGTGGCCTGAACAGTCAGCAGTTCTGCAGAAGAGCAAATTAGGATTTAGGTCTTACCATTATGTTGAGAATGTGCTTGTCCTGGGCCTCATGGTCCAGCCTCTCAGCAGTATAGAGCACGCCAGTGCTAGGGTCAATCCGGAATTTTCTCATGCTGATGGAGTCGATGCTGCTATGAATAGTGTAGCTCAGCTTGTGTTTCTCATCTCTATCTGTGGCTTCAATCTGCAGGATCTCTGTGTCTGGAAGCACATCCTCGGAAATTGTCACATCATAATTCGGCTGAGAGAATTCTGGGCCATTATCATTATTATCCAGCACTTTGATAAATACCTATAGTTAAAAGAAGATAAGAATGATGACTAATGCCAATTTGCTCATTGCTAATAAAGTATGCCCTCCCTCCTTTTCCCCCTTCCACGTCCTTGGATCCTAGCTTCTGGTAGCTCTCTCAACATAGAGGAAGCTCTCTTATAAAAACAATCTGTGATTAAAGGTTGACAATAAACCAGTAGTTTATATTAGCAGGAACACAAACTATGAGCTGATCAATATTCTCACTATTAATTGAACAGCTGAGACAGCCACTTGAAGGTGATCATTCTGTAGAATTCGTTGAGACACAATGTAAATGATCACAAGGTGACCTTAGTTTGTTAAGTTGCCATTATCTTAAGTTCTTGTTATATGTTTTTCTCTTGGTGGACTTCTGTGGAGGCAGTGATGGAATGGGAAGAGGAGCACAGAAAAGGCAAAGGAATGAATGAGGTAGACTCAGAGCAGTCACAGCTTCTCAATGGTGGTGTCCACACATTGTGGTTGTCCTGATTGGAGGGTCTAGCAAAGAACGTGGCACTAACGATAGCTAAGAAATGATGTTTCCCAATTACAAAATTTTCAAATGGTTTTCTTTCATAAAGCATTTTGTTACATAAATTTCCAGACAAATATGAAATAGTGTAGTGAACACTCAAATATTTATCACTCAGCTTTGATAATAATCAATTGCTATTCTGGTTTCATCATACTTCCACTCATCCCCACCTGTTCCTCCAAGTTATTTTAAAGCAAATCCCAGCTATCATGTAATTTCAGTATGCATCTTTAAAAGACAGGACTCTTAGAATAAACACAAACACACATAATACCATTGCTGCACCTAAACAGAGAATAGTTTCTTAATGTCATCAAACATCCCATTGGTGTTCAAACTTCTCAAATTGTTTTTCCATGTGTTTTGTGTTTGTTTATACACATATATGTGTATATATATTCATAATTTCCATGTATTTTGTGTTTGTTTATACACAAATATGTATACATATATTCAAATAATACATATTTGCATATCTTTTAATCAAGATATGCAAATAAGTTCCAAACATTGCATCTGGTTGATACATCCATAAAGGGGTTAATTATATTTGAATTTATAGGTTCTCCCTCAAACTCCCCTCTATTTCCTTGCAATTTTTATGATGTTATGGTTGATACTGAAGAACTGAGCCATTTTCTCTTTAGTTCCCACAGTCTGAAATTTGGTCAGAGCATCCCTGTGGTTTTGTTCTACATGATCCTCTGTCCCCTGTATTTCTTAAAAATTAATAGTTTGATCTAAAAGCCTTGATAAAATTCAATTTTCTTTTTTTTTTTTTTTTTTTTTTTTTGGACACAACTCTTTCATGAGTGATTTGGTGTACTTCCATCTGGAGATACATCCTGTTTGCTTCTCTCTCTTGTTCTGTGATATTAGCAGATACTAGCAATCATTATACAGATAATTCTTTAAAAAGTTCAGAATGATAATGTTCTAATTCTATGATTTCCTTCCTTGTTTATTAGTTGGAACAGTTCTCTGAAAAGAAACTTCTCAACTTGGTAACTGTGAAGTACATTTCATATAGGAAAAGTAGGATAAATAATATTTCCCTTTATTAATTTGAAATAATGAGTTGGTTCTTTGGCTCTTCCCAAAGTGAATAATGAGGTTCTCTTTTTCAACCATTAGTTTGAACTCATGAATTTGATCACATTTGATTTGTTTCTTTCCATTGTAGTTATATTGATGATGCACATATAGCCCAACCTTGGCCTGTAGGAGCCTCTTCCAATTAGTTCCTGACATCTTTTGACACAGCCCTAGTACTCTTTGATAGCTTCCTTGCTTTCTGAAAATTGTTACCAGTAATTTTTCCAGTGTTATCTTGTACATTTTCTGCCCCAATCTGTAATTACCCATTTCTCCAAAATGGCTCGTTTCCTTTTTAGTTGGAAATGACATTTAGAGACCATGATCCACTGCTAGGAATGCTGATTGCTTATTTGGTTTGTTATTATATTTCAGTTTTATTCACTGGACAGAGTCAGGAAAGGTTTGTGGGTTTTTTTTAACTAAATATTTCATGAGTTCATATTGCTGCTTCCTATTCAAAATTATAGCATCCGAGTTTTTACTTAATGTCATGGATTTTATCTCTATCTTCTTTATATCTATCTTCTATCTCCTTTCTCTCATGCTGAAATTTCTCATGCTTAAGACATCATCAAAATTATTCATTGCTTTATTTGAATCACATGCACAAAAATCTCAGAATAATTCCAACATTCTTATTATAATTACATTATAATTATCATTAAAAACAATTTTAGTATTATCTTGTAGTTCTTTTGTTCCTAGGATTTATCCAACTAGGAATATATAGTCAAATCGTGTGTTTAAAGTCACTGAAAATATTTCTTTTCTGTGTAGATGTGCCACCAACTCGATATACATCTAACATTATTTGTTTCCATTTGTGTTCAAATTTTAGACTTTTTAAATATTTAATTTAATATTATACGCAAAGGTACAAAGGCAAGTTTACAAAAAAGATATATTCAAAGAAGTTCAGCTTCTGTACCTTCCCCCTATACACTATTCCCTTCTCCTACAGATAACTTTAAAAAAAATGGTATGGTTTACCCATCAAATATTTTGTTAATATAAACATACTGTATACACTGTTGCCGGCCATGCTATTTCATTTAACATTACATTAACATTACAGTTACAATTAACATACCATTAACATTGGTTCTCAACGAGGGATGGTTTTGTCTTCCATAGGACATTTAGCAGTGTCTAAAGTCCTTTTGTTTGTCACACTGGGAGGAGGACTGTTTCTGACATCTAGTGGGTACAGGCCAGGGATGCTGCTAAACATTCTACAGTGGCACAGGACAGTCTCCACAACAAAGAATTATCTAACCCAAAATGCCAATAGTGTTGCTGTGGAGAAACCCTACATTACATTCTGAAGATAATGTCATAGAAGTACAGAGATACTCTCCCAGTGAGTAGATGAATCAGTTAATTCAACTATTTTTCTACTGGTGTTCATTACGATGTCTCCAATTTTTGTTCTTAGGGTATGCAAGGAGAAGCCTTGTGCCAGTGAGTTTTTTTTTTTTTTTTTTTTCCTCCGTATTTTTTGCTAGCACATATTTAGGTTCTAGAATTGGGATAGTTAGGTCAAAGTATAAGTGCTTATGTAGTTTTTATATATATTCCCATCTTTTACTTGCTCAAAGGTTTTATCATTTTGCATTCCCAAAATAATACGTAAGAATGATTGTCTCTCACAACCTTGCCAACAGAATATGTAGTAAGATTTCTAGATTTTTTGCCAATCTGATAGATGAGAAATGGCATTTCAGTATAATTTTAATTTACCTTTCTCTTTTTGAGTGAGGTTGGAGCAATTTTTCACATATTTAGGAGTCATTTGCATTTTTTTCTGTTTAATTATTTGTATCTCATCTCATTCTTCTATAGGTTAGATGGCCTCTTGTTCTTTATTTTTGGAAGTTGGTGATAGAAATCGCAAATATGCTTTCAATTTTGTCATGTAGTTTTATTTTGCTTATGGTGGATTTTTTTTCTTTCTATGCAAAAGTGAATACATCAATCTTTTTCCTTATCGTTTCTGGATTCACAGTTTAGACTATTTTGCGAACTTTCAGGTTATAAATGAACACATTCATTTTAAAAAATGCATTTGTATGTTTTCTTTTCTTTCATTTACATCTCTAATCCACTTGGAATTTTTCCTGGTATACTGTGATTATTTTCCATATGGCTCTCCATTTGTCTCAATGACACTCTTTAGAAAATCCATATTTCTAGATTTTCTATTCTGTTCCATTGGTTTATCTGTCTTTTCATGTATCAGTGCCAAAATGTTTTAATTATAGAGAATTTATAGTACATTTTAATGTTTGGAAAGGCTGGGCCCTCTTTTCCCTCTTTCTCAGGGTTTTCCTGGCTATTTTTGCTTCTTCTTCTTAATAAACCTGTATAGCACATGATAGAAATTGTTAATTGCAATTATGCTATAAGTACAGGTTAACTGAAGGAAAACTGACTTCTCTCTAATGTAGTCTTCCTATCCAAGAACACGGTTTGTCTTTTTTCATTTGTTCAATATACTGTTTTATTTTTTCTGGGAACATTTAGTTTTCCTTAAATAGGTTTTGAACACTTTCTAAAGTTTATATATATGCTACCCTAAATGGAGTCTTCTCTTCCAATATATCTTTTCATTGTTTTTTTTTTGGTTATATATACGTAAGCTAATAATTTTTGTATGTTAAATTTTTAACCTCTTATTTTACTAAATTTTCCTATTATTTACAGAAGTTTTTCCATTCAGTCTTTTGAGTTTTTCAGATATATATAATTATACTACATGCAAACAGAGATACTTTTACCTTTTTTTTATGGCACAAACTGCTTTATCTTGTCTAATTGCATTGGCTATTACAGTATGACAGTAAACAGTAGTGAACAGAGTGATGCTGTTGTCTGATTTCTAATAGAAAAATCCTCTAGTTATTCTCCATTAAATAGTATGCTAGTGTTTGGCTGTATTGTAGAACATTATTTACTTTCAAAAATAAATGCAACCAGGTTAAGCCTATCTGCGTAAATGGCTGCACTCTCACTCACTTTGGTACAAATATGCCTTTTTTGAGGGAAAGACAAGGAGTGGTGCTGCCACCTCTATGCTGGGACGACTTGCCATTCAGAGTAAGCTTGACATGGGACAAGCTTTGCCCTGTAGTAGTTTGTGGTAGAAAAAGGGTTAAAAAGTGTGCTGGTAAAGTTTTGGGTATTGTTTTTTCTCCACTGTATTTGCAGAACCATGCTAGATTCTTTGAACGCCAATTCTTTCATTTACAAAGTTCAAGTTAACTTAGTAAAGATGCTAAAATATTTGTGTTCAGTTATATTAATGGGATGAAAAAGCCTTTCTGGCCAGCAAGCCTGCCCTGACCTTCACGAAGTTTCAAAA